TACTTAGAAAAAAAGAAAGGAAAGATTAACTGGTGATTTAAAAACGGTGACTACGGAAAAAATTATTTTGGAATCAAATATATAAACTCTGAAAAAGGAGGAGAAAGTTTGTTTTATCCTGATTGAATAATCCAGTTTTCTGATGGTCGGATTGGCATTTTTGATACTAAAGCAGGATGAACTGCTACAGAAAGAGAAACAACAGATAAGGCCAAGTCTCTGCAAGAGAGAATCGAAGAACTCAGGGAGAAGTTTGGCAAAGAATTTGTTGGCGGGATAATTGTAAAAGAAGCAAAGATTTGATACTACAATGACAGCTCCGTATACTCCAAAAATCAATTTGTTAACGATGGAAAAGACTGAAAGCCCTTTGAGAAATTAATACAATAAACGCTTTAAATTTAGAATTAGGCGAGGAAGCAATAAAAGTTGAAAAATGACGTTTTTTGTATATCACTAAGGGAGGCATAATAAAATCGCATGAAAATTTAAATATGCTGAATTTAAGTAGAGAAAGTTTTCAATTTAATAAACAAGGAATAAATTCTTATTATCAAGCCGCAATTATCATTTTGCACTGACTTGACTGCTCGTGAGGTGAGCAGCAATGAGCAAAAACGGCTATTTTAGGTCTTAACTCTTGTTTTCTTCCTTATAATATCAAGTTTCTTTGTCCACAGGCTCCTACCATTTTTGTTAATTACTATAAAAAGGAAAGGACAGCATGATATAACATAATTTCTTCAGATGATTTAGAGAATGGTGAAAATGACCATGGTTTGCTTGATTCCATTAAATGAATCGAAAAATTAATTAAAGAGGAAATAGACAAAGGAATTTCTCCCCAAAACGTTTTCATTATTGGACTTTCTCAAGGCGGATCATTAGCCTTGGCTATTGCTATGTCTTCTAAATATGAACTAGGAGGTTTCATAAGTCTAGCGGGCTTTATCCCTTACCCGAAGGTTCTGAAAGCAATTGAGAGAGGAAACAATAAAACTGTTCCTATTTTTATGGGTCATGGTAGCGAAGACAAAATAGTCCCCTATGAAGTGGCTCAAAAATCTTTCCAAACCTTGTGACAAAATGGCTATCAAATGGAGCCATTTAAATGTTACCCAGGGCTGGGTCATGAAGAAATGCATTTTCTTCCAATGATTATGGATGGTTTAGTTTTTTTAAATAAGGTTCTTCAAGCGAGAAATTTATCCAAATTAAATTTTCTTAATCCAGAAAATATTGTAATAGTAAGAAAAAACGAAAAAATCAAAAAAAAACGAGCCATTAAAAATACGGAATATTAATTCCTTATTTCGGAACAATCTCTACTTGGGCTTGTAATTGTTGTTTTAATTCGGCATTTTCTTCCCTCAATTTCTTAATTTGTCGCAAAAGGTCTAATAGAGAAGCGCCTTTTCAAGAATTAATTTTTAATTTTTTTGTTTCAACTAATTCTACTAATTGAAAAAGTTGTTCATCATCTAAGTCTTCCAATTTGCTTAAATTTAACGGGTTATTATCCAAATTTATTGATTGCAAATTGGGAAAATTATTCAACAATTTGGTAAAATCCACATTCTCGATTTTATTGCCTCATAGGTTTAATCATTTTAACTTTTCCCGACTTGCTTCAGGCAAAGTAAACAGCCAATCTAAATTGGTAAATTCGTTGCCGTCGGCTTGAATACTCGTTAACTTAGTAAAGTCTTTTAAATCCATTTCTCCAGCCAATTGTTGTTTACTTAAATTGAGAGAGTATAGATCCTTTTTATTAATAATTTCGTTGATATATTTTTGGGCGTTTCTAGTCATATTAATTATTTTAAATGCTTTTAATAAGAAATTGAGTAAAAATACTTTTTTTGTTTGGAACGATAAATAGCAATAAGAAAATTTGCACTTCTGGGTTAATGCAAAATTGTTATATTTATTGAAGGTGTGTTTAAATTTCCAATTAAAAAAGTAATTTTCAGAAATCTAAAAATATTTCTGTAAAATCTCTGGAATAGTTAACTTATTTTCTTTTTCATTATAATAATACTCGCACAAAGCAATAATTAGGCGGTCAACCGCCAGAGCCGAACCATTAAGTGTGTGAGGATAATATTTTTGATTTTCTTTTTTGACCCGAATTTGGGATCGCCGACTTTGAAAATCTTCACAATTGCTACATGAAGAAATTTCTAATCATTTTTGGCTGATTGGCAACCAGACTTCGACATCACAAGTTTTGGCTGCTGTAAACCCTAATTCTTGATGGCAAAGTTCAATTACCCGATGAGAAATTTTTAGCAAATGGAGAATATTGCGAGCATCAGCGACTAATTTTTTCAATTCGTCATAAGAGTTGGTGGGTTCAACTATTTTCACTAATTCGACTTTATGAAATTGATGGAGCCGAATTAAGCCTTTATTCTCCTGACCGGCTGCCATCCTTTCAGCCCGAAAGCAGGGGCTATAAGCACATAACTTCAAAGGCAATTCTGCTTCGGTTAATATCTGATTTTGGTAGAGATTAACTAAACTGACTTCGGCGGTGGGGAGGAGGTAAAAATCACTTTCCTCTAATTTATAAAGATTATCTTGGAACTTGTGAAATTGTCCGGTATTATAAAGGTTATGAGCCTTGACTAAATAAGGAGTGTCAAATAAGCGATAGCCCCGTTTACTATTTTCGGCTCGCATAAAATTAATAAGAGCATGTAATAATTGGCTGCCGAAATCTTGATAAACTGCGAACTTACTACCAGATAGGAGAATACTTTTTTCCTCGTCAATTAATTTTAATTTTTTTAGAATTTCTTCGTGGGTTAAATTGTGTTGAATAGCGTGTTGATATTCGGCACTAGCAATTACTCGGTTGCCTTCTTCGTTAGTGGGAGTATCCAGATCCGGCAGATTGGGAAGTTGGTTGGTTAATTCGCTTAATTCGGTTTCTAATTTTTCTAATTCTTTTTCAAAATTGGCAACTTCCTCTTTAATTTTCTTGACGGCAGTTGCATTTTGGGATCCAATTTGGCTTAATTGGTTTCTTTTTTGCCTTAATCCGTTAATTATTCTAATTAGTTCCTTTTGCCTGATTATCTTCTCTTTAACGCTTAATAATTGCTCTTCGCTTATGCCGCGTGGCTCTAAACGACGAACTAAATCGGGGAAATTATTGAGTAATTTTTGTAAGTCTAGCACATTACTTTATTTTTTTTCTTCGTTGGCGAAGCAGCACAACGAAAGTTAAACCGGCCAGCAGAGTAAAACCAATTATTAAAAGGGGGACAATGGCCGAATTTTGTGGGGGGTGAGTGCTTGCCCTCGTTTCTCGATTTTGGCTTTGTTGAACCATGGCTTGTTCCATTTTTTCCAAAAAGGCCACCACCTCGGCCGAACTAGTAAGACTATCCAAACGCTCCATTCAACTATCGTAGCCCGCTCAGATTTCTTTTAGCTTTTCCAAATCAGGTCGGTGTTTTCTGAATAATTCCAAGATTTTACTTTTAGCCACATTTTTGGCAGAGGGCAAGGGCAAATTGCTAATGAAATTTTTGATCTTATCATCAACAACATCATTATTTTTCTGAGAGTCATGATCGGAGGAATTATCATTTTTTTCTTGCTCCTCTATCTCTTTTTCCTCAACTCCTTTTTCTTTTAAAGCGGCTGAAAAAGCATTTAAGTAATCATTCGCTTCATCGACCGTGTTTAATCCCATAATATCATTTTCTCAATTTCGATATTTACCACCAGCCAGGGTATTTAAATCGATATTTCTTAAATTATCCGGATCAGTGAGAATTGTATTTATTTTTTCAATTGCTTGCTTTTTT